TGGGTACAGGGGTAGATTCAGCTCAATAGCTACGGATTCCCGTCAACTCAGTAGCTTTTGTCTAGAGCCTGTATTTGTATTGAAAAATTCATTAAATGTATAAGAATATTTAGCTTGGAATCCAGTCCATTCATCCAGTTAGTATTGTATATTAACTCGAGATTTTTGTAGGAACCCATAAACCTAAAATCTTGGATCAGCCTCTGTGTGGGTAAGTACACTTTGCATTTTTTTGCATAATATTTCTCTCCCATTGGTGCTGTTTAAAACATGTAATTATTGAAAACATACAAGGAAAAGAAAATTAAAAGGATTATGCAAAAAATTGTCAAGCTCATTGTTCCAATGAGAAAAAAATTATATAGTAGCAAAGTCGAGAAGGAGATGAATGCAAAGGAAGAAAGAAAAACATTATTTTTAATCATAGTTTAGTTGAAATCGACTATATAAATCGTTCGTAGAAAAAACAAGATATGAATAGAAGATCAGTACCGCTTATTGGTTTCTGCAGTTCAACTTGCAACAGTATCGATCGAGTTGAGAAATGGCATTTTTCCTATTCGAAAAGAAGAAGACGCGGAGGAAACTGTGAAACGAAGCAATTCTAGCTCGTGGCTCACAATCTCTGTGAGCCCTAACACATGTAGAATGAGAGGAGACGAACTTAGAAAGAAAAGGAAGCTAAGAGCTCTATACTCTGATTTAGAAAATGAGCAATTGATTATCTCAGATACTGTACATCATCATTTATATACGCGCCACTATTAAATAACCAACCGACCTTCTTAACCACTTCCTAATTGTGGTTATAACTAGCTAGCTAGCTATACTACTTCTTCTAACTATGGTTACAACACTCTAGTCAACTAACCAATCTGACTCTCAATATTTCCCCTCAAGCTGGAGGGTGCAAACACATTGAGCACTCCCAGCTTGGACATCAAATATTCATGTTGTGGTCTCCCTAGAGCTTTTGTAAAAATATGTGCTATCTGGTTCTTTGTGTTAACATGAACTGTCTTCACCATCCCTTGTTGGATTTTTTCTCTAATGAAATGGCAATCTATCTCGATATGTTTTGTCCTTTTATGGTATACTGGATTTGCTGTTATTTGTAGAGCTGCCTTGTTGTCACAATGCAACTCGACTGGTACTTCAATCTGAGCTCCAAGTTCTTTGAATAACCCAATTACCCAAACTGATTCTGATACAGTAGTGGCCATGCTTCTATATTCAGACTCTGCTGAGCTTCGCTTCTTGACACCGTGTTCTATTTTTTTGATTTCCAAGAGACTAGTGAATCACCATGCTTTATTATGAACCCTGTTACAGATCTTCTGGTATTTGGACATGATGCCCAGTCTGCATTACAATATGCAGTCACCTTAGTGAATCTTCTACTGCTCATCAAAATGCCTAATCCTGGCTCCTTCTTAATGTACTTTACAATTCTCAGTGCTGCTTCCCAATGAGATTTTTTTGGTTATTACATGAATTGGTTGAGTGTCTGCACAAAAAAGGCTATGTCAAGTCTAGTAAGTGTTAGATACAACAGTTTGCTAATTAATTTTTTGTATTGCTCTTTATCTTCAAATGGCTCATCAGTGTTCTCTCCTGCTATGTCATCTGATTCCTTACTGGTGAACTTCTGGCTGCTATCAAGAGGTGTGTTGACTATTTTAGATGCACTCAATACCACATCTGAGATAAGTTCCAAAGAATACTTTCTTTGGTTCATCAAAATACCTTCTAGTGATCTGCAAAATTCAATCCCCAAAAAGTATTTTAACTCACCAAGGTCCTTTATTTTGAAGGCTTCTTGTAAGTTCACTTTTGTGCCCTGAATTAGCTCTAGGTTATTTCCTGTCAACAACATGTCATCCACGTAGACTAGAATGATCACTATGTTGCTTTCTTATTTTTTTAGTAAATAGAGAATAGTCCAGAGTACTCTCCACAAAGCCCTGCTTTACCAATGCTTCTGTGAGCTTCACATTCTATTATCTGATAGCTTACTTGAGACCATATAAGGATTTGACAAGTCTATACACTGCTCCTTTATTCTCCCTGGCTTGCAAAACCTTCTGGAAGTTTCATATATACTTCCTCATAAAGATCACACTGCAAGAATGCATTGTAAATATCCATTTGGTGAAGAAGCCATCCTTCAGCAGTTGCTATTGAAATGACTGTCCTTACAGTCACTATTTTCACCACATGTGAAAAGGTTTCCTGATAATCGATCCCCTCATGATGATTGTATCCTTTGGACACTAGTCTGGCCTTGAACCTCTCCACATCACCATTGGCCTTGTATTTGACTTTGAAGACCCACTTGAGCCCTATAGGAGATTTCTCTGGTGGCAGTTGAACAACTTCCCACGTCTTATTTTCTTCAAGTGCCTGAATCTCTGCTCTCATTTCTTCTACCCAGCGTGGGTCTTGTGAAGCCTCAGAGAAGATTGTTTGCTCTGAGATTGAAGTGAGGGCTGCTAAATAAAGCTGATAATGGGGCTTCAGTCTGGCATAGGTGAGGTAGTTCTGCATGGTAACTGTTGTTGTTACTGTGATATAATCACTCATCCATACAGGATTTTTCTTGTCTCTCTCTGATCTTCTTAAAGGCTCCATAGGTGGAATAGAAGGTGGTGGTGCAGAAGGTAAGGTAGCCTCTTGGGATATATGTGACTCGTTATCCTGTGTTGGCATAGCCTCTTGCACATCTAGTTCAGCTGCTGGTGATGGTTGATCAGCAGTTGGCATAGCTTCAGAAAGTGGAGAAGATGCATCTGCTACCTCTTCAATAGGAACTTCTACATCATAAAGCATGTCACCAGGATTTTCTAGTTCCAGGAATAGGTGGTACTGAGATTGCTTCCTATTTTTAAAAGGAAATATCTTCTCCCTAAAACAACATCCCTATTTACAAAAAATGTATGATTAGTTAGATCAAACAACACATAGACTTTTGTTACTACTGAATAACCCATCAGAATAACTGATATTTCCCTTGTATCAAACTTGTCATGAATGTTCATCCTTTTTGCATAACAAAGGCACCCAAATTCCCTCAAATGTTGTAAGTTAGCCTTATGTTAATGAAATACTTCATAGGGACTTTTACCATTCAGAACTGCTGATGGCAATTGTTGATGATATAGACTGCAGTCAGGAAATATTGGCCCCAATACCTCAAAGGATTTTCCCCTTGAAATCTCAAGGCTCTTGTTACCTCCAATATGTGTCTATTCTTCCCCTCAGCTATTCCATTCTGTTGAGGAGTATAGACACAAGTTCTCTGATGCTTAATCCCATGATTCTGGAAAAAAGCACTACACTCACTGTGTAAAAATTCTCCTTCATTGTCAGATCTGAATGCTTTGATTATTCTATTAAACTGGTTCTGTACCAATTTGATGAAGTTTTTCAGCACAACTATTACATCACTCTTTAGTTTCAACAAGTATTACCAAGTCAATCTAGAATGGTCATCCATTATAGTAAGAAAAAGTTTATTGCCATCAAAGGTTTATACATTATATGGCCCCCATACATCAATATGTAGTAAGCTGAAGACTTCATCAGTTCTGCTAGTACTGTGTGGGAAGAGCAGCCTGATGTGTCTAAAGGATATACAATACATTGTTCCAGCTGACTCTTACAACTACTCTGAGAAAAATGAAAAAGTTGACTTAATGTCTTTATTGAAGCATGACCCAGCCTAGTATGCCAAAGTTTAATATCTTGTTTCTCCTTGCTTGCAATCAAGCTAGTTATTTCAGCAGTACTACCTTTAGCATAGGCTTGAGTAAGCAGATAGAGTCCTCCTATCTCTTTACCAATCCTCCTCACCTTCCCACTGTAAAGTTCCTAGAACACATAAAATTCAGAAAAGAATAAAGCTGAGCATATCAGTTCCTTTGTGAGTTTTGATACTGATAGCAGATTATATTTAAAATCTGGGATATATAACACATTGCTCACTATTTTCTTATCATTCAAATTACAAGATCCTTTGTGAGTTACATATGTGAATGATCCATTAGGCAGACTGACCTTTTTTTCTTTTGGATCACTTATTTTAACTGTGTTATCCAATAAGTTCATATCAGAATTCATGTGATCTGTTGCTCCCATATCTATGATCCATTCCTTGTTGCTAGATTCTACCAAAAAAACAGTGATATCATCATTACCTGCCATATTAACTGAACTGTCAGTTACATTTTCCTTGCCAAGCACCTTCAAAATCTGCTCATATTATTCTGGTGTGAAGTAGGGTCTTCTGGTCCCTTCAGAGTTCATCACTCCCTCAGCTGTATTGGCGTACCTGCTACCATGTGTATCATGTTTCCTGTTATCATTCACAATAACATTGTTAGCTGCATTTCCTCCATATTTCTTCTTAGGTTTAAAATTAGTAGGATATCCAATTATTTTGTAGCATTCTGCACGAGTGTGTCCCTTCATGTGGAAAAAGTCACATTGAACATTAAAGCTCCTTTTAGTTTGCTGTATATTCCTTCCCTTAATTGTCATTAAGGCATTCATCTCAACATTATCCATTGTTCCCAAGGTGTTTGTCATGCTTCTCTGGCTTTCTCTTTCTATCAACATTGAGTAAGCTTTATTCACTGTTGGTATAGGAATCATCATTAAGATTTGACTACGAGCTTACTCATACGATTCATTTAATCCCATAAAAAGCTGCAACAACTTTTGCCTTTTCATGAATTCCACATAATCACGAGATCTAGGACAATCACACGGAGATGGAGCTAGGGCATCAAACTCATCCCATAGCAAACACAACTTTGAAAAATAAGCAGCAATACTATTTGTTCCCTGAGTCACAATAGCAATTTGTTTATGAAGTTGAAAAATGCGAGATCCGTCAATTTTATCAAATCTCTCCTTCAAATCACTCCAAATTGCACTGACACTCGATGAATACACTATTCCGCTGAGTAATTGACTTGATACACAATTCATTATTCACGATAATACAATCGCATTATACCTCTCCCAAAGATCAGTCAAATTCGGATCAAACTTCTCCTTTTTACATGTTCCGTCGATGAATCCTAGCATATTGCGACCTAGGATTGCAATTCTCATCGCACGTCTCCACACCGAGTAGTTCTCCGATCCTGTCAATTGCAGAGAGATCAACACGGTTCCTGAATTATCTGTAGAATTTAGGAATGAAGGATGATTGTGGTTCAATTTCTCTGGTACTTCATTGTCTACTTCTATCGCCATGTTTCTTACAGATTTCGACTGTAATCAAGCTTCGATTGAAGGTTTCACCCACATTAATGGCCGCTAGAGCTCTAATACCATGTGAAACGAAGCAATTCTAGCTCGTGACTCACAATCTCTGTGAGCCCTAACACATGCACAATGAAAGGAGACGAACTTAGAAAGAAAAGGAAGCTAAGAGCTCTGTACTCTAATTTAGAAAATGAGCATCTAATTATCTCAGATACTATACATCATCATTTATACACGTGCCACTATTAAATAACCAACCGACCTTCTTAACTACTTTCTAATTGTGGTTATAACTAACTAGCTAGCTATACTACTACTTCTAACTATGTTTACAACACTTTAGTCAATTAACCAATCCCGCTCTCAATAAAAACCTAGCTAATATTAGCCAAATATGCTGCAGTCATTTGCTCTTTAAAACTGCTTTGCACCTCGATATTCTTCTTTTCCTTGTAAAAAAGTGATGGTAAGAATTTTGTTATCATTTATAAATCTTTTGTACTTCTGACGCAGCGATAGTGAATGTAATCATTTATAAATCATTTGTACTTCCAAATAATGACAATTTAGGATAGAATCACGGTTTTATTAATGTTTTAAACAATTGTACTCAAGAAAAAAATTATTTTACACCATAAATAGTGGTCATATAGAATGATAGAGGGTAGCATCTTTATTACTCCTATTATTTAACGAGTGTTAATATACGTTGCTTGAAATTTCAATTTAAATTGATATTTTCCTTGTTGCTTGAATTGTTATTTAAGGATTTTTTTCATATCCATATGATTTGTGATAATTTATGCAAAACAAATTGTTAAGATCAGGAAATCCTTCTGCCCAAAGGATCCCAGCTTAGAAGACAACAACATGAGACATGGAATTCGGTTTCTGTAAATGTGCAGTGCTGTAAAATAACATTATCATGGTCAGTTCCCTATGAACTTAGGCTTTTGAGTTTTGTCTTAATCAACTGGTCTTCTACTTAGCTTATCCAAACAGTGAGACACATACATGTCGCATTACAATGTACTCTCATTTAGCATGATTAATTAAAAACATGGTAGCACAGATTCTTTTTCAATAACTAATGCTTACTTTCCAGATTAAAAATAAAGTAACAAATTGCCCGTGATAAATCAATATAACTTATACTATTTAATGGTGTGTTTGGTACGAAGGAAAATGTTTTCCATGGATTTTATGGAAAATGAGTAGTTTTATCACTTATTTTCCCTTGCTTGGTTGGTAAGTCGAAAACATTTTTCGAAAAATATTTTCTAGTGTTTGGTTAGAGAGTAGAAAATATTTTTTTTGGAAAATATTGTTTTATGCTACTCTCCTCACCCTCTCCCCTCCCCCAAGTCTCTAAAAATTCACACAAACCCAAAGAAACTAATGTGTTGGTTTACTTTTTACGCAAAAATAACATTGAAATTTGTGCTCCATAACTAAAAAGAAATACTCTTTTTTGGTTGAAAAAGAAAATACTCTTTCTACAACATGAAAATAAAATACTCATTTTATTGAAATAAAAGAAAATACTTTTTCTACATAAAAAATACTTTTTTTACATCATGAAAAGAAAATACCTTTTTATTAAAATGAAAAAAAAATACTTTTTCTACATAAAAAGAAAGTATTTTTTTTGTTAAAATGAAAAAAATATTTTTTTATATCATGAAAAAAAAAAACTCATTTGTTGAAATGATTTTTTTTTTTTATCTATAACATGAAAAGAACGTACTATTAATATTTTTTTTTATTTAGGGTGGGGTGGGGTGGTGGGGATTGGTGGGGATGGAGAATAGGGTGGGGAAGGTTGAGAAGGAGTTTTGGAAAATATTTTACCTTCTCTTGATAGAGAAAATATTTTTCTCCAATTTAGAGGAAAATGAGTTCATGAGAAAAATGTTATCCAAAACATTTAGGCCAACCAAACATAAAAAAATCGAAAAATATTTTCCGAAAAATATTTTCATTCGTACCAAACACACCACCCTAAGTGTAAGATATATCCAATTGCTTAACAAGACTAACCATAAAAAGCTCAGGAATGCCAGAATGTAGTCTTTAATTAGTACCGAAAGTAGTCCACTTTGGCAATCTCATCGTAGCGTCCAAAATAAGTAAATCAATTTTCATGTATCAAACACAATAATCAACTTAACATGCTAGAGAAATTCCAATTTCTTGCTTGCCAAAAAACACAGTTGAAATCCAATGCACTAACGGTATAAAAAGTATTTATAAAATCAATCACTTAAAATGTTATTATAAATTTTATGATGAGTTTTAATTAACGAGCTAACATAATGGTAACTGATATTTTATCGCGCAAGCTAAATTACACAGATAATGTAATACATATCTTGAGATTGTTAATATTCAGAGAAATTCATTCCTTGTATCATCATTTCATTAGATTTGCTCAGCACAAAGGTTACTAGCAAGAATTTATCTTACTGAAAAGTACACCAACCTTAATAAAAGATAAGCTATCACTCTTTAGTCCGTAGCTGACAAATTCAAGTGAATCTACACTAATTGGTTCATTTAAAGTAGATATAAATATAATTAGATGGCATTTGAAGTCTTATTTATTTGTTAAACCTTTTCTCATGATCCTCATAGTAGCTTTTAATTTCGTTTTAGGACAATACAACAGTGCTCAGTAAATGAAAGAATTTCAATGGAATGGAGGTTTTGTGTATTTTCCATAATTAATTAAAATGGTGATGCTTCAAGATGTTGACCATCGGCATCCTTCTTCCCGGGTATAACCAGGGTAAGAAGTTATTTTATTTTTTTCTTTACGGAACACGTGCAAGATAATGAATTATCCACTTTGGTATAACCAAAAATGTTTTTGGTTACCTTAAATGTGGTCGAAAACATTTTCACCACCATTTATAGAACAAGTTTGAGATCAACTAAGAAATTTTCAACATGAGTTTTGTCCAAAAAATTAGATATACCTCATTCAGATGCATATATAGTATCGGAGGGGGAAATTGTATGCTCCAAAAGAACAAAGAACAAAGATAGAATTTCCCAGTTGCATGTTAATTTTCTCTCTTTACAATAAGGAACTGCTGCAGCTTTTCAACCATGTCTAGGACATCCCAAACTTTTGGTTCATTCATAGTAATTGATAGTTCTTCACCAAAATGAACTATTCCTCCCGTCTGGTGGCATATCCACCACAAAATGTAACCACTAATAGATGTACAATATATGGTTTTTACACATCCACTAACATTGTATAGTGTTACTCTAACTTAAACAACTATAACAAACTACTGATCTTTTTTAGCATTTATCAACCTTTGTTTTACTGTAGTATAGTTTAAGCCCATCTCCAATAGGGGTTTTTAACTACGTTGATGTTATGTTCTCAATCAATCAACTATTTCTTTATCTTAAACTAATTGTATCAATGTAACATATGTTTAAGTGATAGCATGTTCTAACATATTCAATGTTAGTACTTCATTATAATTTGATTATCTTTACCTTAACCATCAATTTACACAATCCTCCTTATTTATGCGGTCTTCGAGTCAATAATAGGCGAACCTGGCATAGACGAGGTAAAAAATTGCAAATTCGCAACAAGTTATACTCTTACTAATAATTCCCATTATGTTTGAAATTATTATTGGAAATATTTGACACCTATCTTGACCTGTGGGTCCCAACTGATATCCAAAAAAATCACTCTTTTGCGTTGATGACAGAACAGAAAAGAAGAAAAAACCACTGGCTCACAGCAATCGCGAGCCCATTGAATTGACTCATTGTCCCTTTCTTTAAAAAGGCATAGCAGAAGGGTTATCTTCTCACTTATTTTTGGCCTTTCTTTCCCCATTTGTATTTCTCAATACAATTTCAATATTTCAAAAAATATACTTATTAAAAATAACACAAATTTGAATCTTTTTATCATCCCATGTATTAAATATTTATAAAAGGAAATCAAGGAGCAGACGAGAAAATATGTAAAAGTGCACAGAGTTTTTTTTTTAATCTTTCACGGGTTCATACTTTTTTTATGTTTGTATTTTTTTCTAGTTTAATTCTTGCATTTGTTGTTAGAACAATTCTTTTTATATAAAAAACTATTAATGGTTTATGTTTGATTGTGGCGCTAGAATCCTATCTATCATCTTCTCCAAAAAGTAATTGGATCCCAAAATTCTGGGCTCTGGATTTAGGCCCCCACAATTAGTTGTCTCTATTACTTCTTTTTTTCCTTTTCCTTTTATACCTTGTTTTAAGATATTCTAGCT